TAATTTTCAAAAAAATTGAGTCGATTGAAAGACAATAGAGAATAAAAAATGCAACTGTCAACTACTAAAAAAATCGAGAATAGATTCAGAGATAGTCAAGAATCAAAATTCCAAAATCAAATGTTCAATTATGAAAAAAGTTGATTGAAATTGAAGAAATCACTAAAAATAACAAATCCAATTGTCTGTTTTAACCCGTCACTAGTCTTTTAAAAATTTTCTTTATTTTTGGATAGAACCAAATTTTTCGGATATCCATTTTAGCCCACTCTTGAATAATTTCTCAGTTGTAGACTTTGCTAAGAAGCAATTTTTAAAAATCATTATTGAAAATGTTTTGAGTGTTCATTTTAGTCCCGCCCACACAGATTTATCAGGTGTCCATAATGCCCAATGAAACGATTTTCAAGAATTTGAATTTTGAAAAAAAAAATTTGCAAATTTTTGAGTGTCCATTTTATCCCGAATGTCCATTTACCCCACCCCCTCTAATTTTGTCAAAAATCAAAGAATTTTACTAGAATTTTCTCGAACACCTAAGAATGATCTAGAACTGTCTCTAAAACCCAAGCTTTTTTTGGAATTTTCTAGAAAACTGGAGAATTTCTTTGAATTTTCCAGAGAATAGGAAAATTTTCTCGAACGTGCTCGGACACCGTAGAATTTCCTCGAATTTGGTTTGAAAACTCTAAATATCCATATAATTTTTTCAAAAACTGGAGAATTTTCCAGAAATTTCTCAAAAACCGGAGAATTCTCTCGAAAATCGGAAATATTTCGCGAAAACTTCATGGGAAACATGAGAACATCTACCGGAAAAAATAAACACGAAGAGAATAAGAAACAAAAATTGCGGGGCCCTTCCAAGCTCCACTTTTATATGTCACCCTGGTTTCCTGCCATTCCCGCAGTTACCCACATAGCTATGGTCGGGATAAAGCTTCTTGCATTGACCGCAAACTGGGGGGGGCGTAAAATCGCCACTCGGGAAAAAAATCCCTCCAACCGGGCCTTAATTCATTAGTTATCCATTGATTGGACTGAATAAATATAAGTTGTTTGTGATAAACAGATCTCTACTTTCTTTATGTGAGACCTCATTATTTCCATACAATGTCCCAAGCAATGCCATCTGACAGTAACTTCCCGAAGCTCGTTCTCATTCGAGTTCGACTTCCAGAGAAATCGATTCGACTTTTCTCAATTCGAGTTCTCATTCGGCAGCCATTATACTTTCCTTTTTATTAAAGGACTTTTTATTAAGGATAATGAGTTTCGTGTAGCTTTATATCGACAGTAAACTCAAGTTAATTCAAATGTTGAACCACCGCAAGACATTGGCACATAAAAAATCATAAGTAATCTGGCAGAAATGAGGGGATAGTGGTGGATTTATCCTCCAAACCATTCCCCAATTTGATAAAAAAGTGCATTAATGGCAGGTTTGTCAGGTTATGATCCAGTGTATCGAGGCAGACCGGTGACTCCACGACAATTTCCAGATGATTTTGGTGATAGATACTATAATCGCGAGGTAGTAAGACCAATCGAAATCATATCAGCGTCATCGATCATCCCCGAAGGAAGTACACCACCTGACAATGGTAAGGTCATGGCAAGGTTCCCCTACCACATCTTGCGTTATTCGTATGTATATACATATAATCAGCATTTTTCAATCAGACGTTGCCATAAAGAGATCAATAGGCATAGGATGTGGTCTTGCCAGTTTAATCACGGAAAATCTACTTATTCATCCGTTCATCGTACTGAGAAGACAATGTCAAGTAAATCCAGTGGCAACAACATATCATCTGGTGCCAATCACGTTAATACCAGTTATGATGAGATTACATCAGACCCAGGGGATGAATACATTGTGGAAAGGAATTGGGTCGGTTTTACTTGTCAGGGGTTTGACTCTTGCGGTTGAGGACCTTTTATCGAAGGTCACACCATGGCCCAAGTAATTTTCCAATTTTTTTACTCGATATCATTTGTTCAATGTCAATTTATTTCATTTATGTTACAGGGAAATAACGAATGAAACTTCTTTTAAATCTTTCGGACAACACTTGTTCCTCAAATGGTAAATAAAAAGCTGTGTGAAAGGCCGAAAGGTCATACATGTTTTGAATGAAAATTTAATAGTAAGAAGAGGTCAATTGTTTTCATTACAGGTAGCTAGTTTGCTATAAAAACTGTAACTTCAATGTTCTCAACAAAAAAGTCAGGCCGGGGACTATTTTGTGAAAAGCCAATATAAATAGTACTTCATGTTAAATTCAAATACTGTTGTAGTTGAAAGATTGTTGTCAGTATGATCTATTCTATTTATGCATTTCATTTATTGGGAACAGAAACTATATATAGATGGACGTTATAGTGTTTTTATATTTTGATTCCAATACCTAAAAACTAGAAGTATTGATAAAAGATACAATATGGGGTTCATAATGAATTACGTATATACGTTTTAAGTTGACTTAACTTAAATCATTCATTCATCTATTCAATTATCCATATTCGAATTAAAGGGCTGAAGTCAGGTAAATAATGATATCACAGGGTCCTTTCCGCAACCATCGTAAAGTATGGAAATCTCAAATAAGAAAACCAAAGATAAAAAATAAAAGAATTAAATAACTAAAATACCTGAGATTCCTATCAACTACTTATTTTGAACCATTTCAAACACTATGTTATTTGTCACGTTTCATGGCTCTGAAATATAAAATAACTCTAAAAATTGAAAATAATAATCCATACCATTCTTCTCAGCCCTACAGAAAACATTCCTCCTAAAAGTTATTAATTTTCAGCAGATTCAAAGCTTTAAATACTGCTGAATGATTATTATGATTCGCAATTTCTTTCAGTGTTTCCATTGGAATTGTCTCTCCATTCTACTCAGCATCCCTAGTAGAGACTGTTCAATCAGAGATAGCCTCCGAAAAACCAGGAGTACTCGATGTGTTCCGCGATGGTGCAATTCGTCTTCTTGAAGTCGGTAGTAAAGGACGAATTATTCCAATCTATGTCCTGTTGGGTCCACACGTCGCTTACGGAATTGCTAAGTACTTGTTTGGATTAATCGTGAGGAGTATTGTCTCCAGAGTAATGGTCTTGAGAGACAGGCATTTGCAAGAGAGCAGAGTGAGTGTAACTTAACAAATGTTATCACTGATGGAATGGTTTTGTATTTAAAACAAAACGTAAAAATTCTAGCTGAATTCATGAATGTCATCGTTTCCTTCACGATTAACTAACTTGAAAATCTGAGGAGATTGCGGATAGATGAATAAAAATGTAGATTAAATTATGAAAGGATGCTAATTTAGAATCATCAAATATTTTTTCCAATTGTACATTCATTTCGATACACTGTTAGGAAAAAAAATCCAGAGCAATTTAAAAGTAATTTTTAAAAGAACCACATTAAATTCTATTTAGGGGGAAAAATCATGAAATTTCAAATTTCAATGAAAACTGAATGGAATTTGAATTTTTTGAGCAGCAGAAAGAAGAGAATTCTCCAACTCAGTTCACCTTTCAATTGATGAGAGATTCAAGATTATATATATATATATATATATATATTTATTCATATTTCTTTCCTACTACCATTACGGTTTTATAGGCTCCCCATTCGTCTGCCTTGCCTCTCCCACTTCTCTCTTCTTTTTTTCTGCGTTACCATGGGTCATCTTACTCTTAACTGTACCCCATTCGGGCTAGGACTGCAAGGGAAACCATGGGAAACCCCAGTCGTACAGCCGGCCGATAATGCAGGGATTCCACTGTGTCCATTGGTCACACTAACTCAATGGGCACAGTGGTTCTCTACATTCGTGCCTAGCGACTGTAGTCCTGAACGTTGCGCGTATTGATTCGTGCCGCGTTGTAGTCCCACGCGGTTAGGTGTGCCCAAGCGGACACCCATCCAAGTACTCGGCAGACTGAACGCTGCTTAGCCTGAATGACCGCCGGAGCCACACACTCCCCGCGCGACCACTACAGCCACATTCAAGATTATATTTACGTGAATGTTCCTAATTTCGTGCAATAATTTTTTCATCAAATTGAGAATTTTCAATGGCGAAATTTCTTCAAAATGTCACTTGATAATAATTTCCAAAAAGTATACCGAAAATTTTAGCCGAAAATCAACAACAGTCTATGACAACAGTGAATGATTTCGAGAAAAAATGTACGAGGACTTTGTTTAGTAGTAGCCCAATAGATTTCTCGCATGAAATTCGCTTGATATTTTTCCATAAATTCACTATTTATGAAAATAATTTCATCTTCTGCAGAATGTGGAGAGTTGAATTGCTATATTATAATTTTTCGTCCCATTTCCACATTTGAACAAATATGAATTTTTTTTCATTATTGTCTCTTGTCTCTTTCAATTTTCGTTTCATTTCGATTTGATCAACATGATTTTTCATTATGCAATTATCTCAAAAAACAAAAGATTTTGAGCGTCTATGAATATTTCTTGATTTCTCCTCAACAACGCTCTACCGAGACAACTGTATAATCATTATACATTATATTACTTTTCATTAATTCATAACTGAGCGATTGTAATGAAATATAATTTAAATGTAATGAATTATCAACTCTTTTAGGGAGCATACAGTCGGGATATCACTTCAGAAAACGTGATGCAAGATATTGATCTCCAGTCAACATTAATCTCTATGTGCGCAGCTGACATTGCATTCTACCCCCTCGAAACAGTTGTTCATAGACTCCACTTGCAAGGCACCAGAACCATCATCGATAATCTCGATACAGGAAGGAGTGTAACACCATTATTAACAAGTTACAGTGGTGCATTTGACTGTTATCGCACAATAATCAATAACGAGGGCACTCTCGGATTGTATAAAGGTTTTGGTGCACTAATTATGCAATTTGGAATGCACTTTTTGGTACTTAAAGCTACGAAATATATTCTCACAGAAATTGGTACCATACTAAAGCCAAAACCGAAAATAGTTAAAACACCTCAACATAATTACTGCAATGAAATTTAATAATAATTATGTTCTTTTAATATAATTTGTTCCTTCCTGAAAACCTATTTAAGGAAAAGATGCAAAGGGGAGAAGTGAAAAGATATGTCTGTAACATATTAATTGTAGAGTTTGTGTAAATGTCTGTATTTGGAACATATCTTTTTACAATGTCATTATTTTTCGATCAACTTCACTCTGAAATTTTTATCGAGCTCCAGAGTTATTAATTTTGTGATTAGCCGTGTCTAGTCATCGTCACTGAAGTTTTACGAATAGGTGAGGAAGAGGGGAACATTATGTACAGAAAGTGAACCATGAAATTTAGTAGATAAAAATTGATGATGAATACAGAAAGCTCATGATGGGGTTTGGAAAATCCTGATTTGTAGAATTAGCTTTTCATGTTGATTTATTATAAATATATCCTCATTACAATATAAATTATCTCTAATAGTTTACCAGTAGACTTATCAATGATCATTTCAAGTTAGGTAGTATTTATTTCTGTTCATTACCAATGAAAATAATTTTTTTAAGGTGACAATATCCCAATCTCAATGATAACGATATTGAAGAAAATATGAGCGTTCAGTTTCCACTTCTAATATCACATTAACCACTTCGAACAAAATTATTGATGTTCAAAAAAGAAGCCTCAACGTTTTTATTTTCAAGGAAATCACTTGTGCTCAATCTGAATCTTCAATTCGCCAGAATTTCGTAGAAATTTCGCACACATTTTTTTTGTATTTATAATTATGTAGATTTTTTGGGAATGTCCCGAATCCGTCAGGAAAGAAAAACGAAATAAATTCATACGAAACCCAATGAGACCGTGCAAGTTCGATGCAAGATAAATTCTTCTTAGGATAAAATCATCTATTTTTTACTTTCTTTGAACTTCTATAAGTCTATATGTACAATATATTACAAAGAATCATCATTTATCTATACAACGTCACGAGAATAATTTATAATGGAAAAAAAGTTATTCCAGAAAATGTTGCTTTCTGCTCTCACAAACTAAAATAACAGGTATAAAGAAATAATCTACCTGTTAATTTCATTTATTCTCAATCACCAAGTGATGTTCATTAGTATAATTTTTTTAATCAAAGATTACTTGAAAGCATCAAATACAATGTTCTCAGGGAAAGAAAATGACGATAATTGTGAAATTTTCTCTTAGTTCCACCTAGGAGTTTTTTTCATCATTTAATTGCTAAATTTTCATTCCAGTACCCCGTGTGTTAATTATTTACGTGCTGTGCCTGCTGTGGCTCCTCCTCGGTAGCATCACCCCGTCGTATGTACTGAGGTTTCTCTTGCCCACGAACGCAGGCCTCAGTGACATGTACAGATATTGTATCACTGCCAGGTACATCGAACATTGGTTCTAACAATAAAGACTCCATAATTGCTCTAAGTCCCCTGGCACCAGTTTTTCGCTCCATTGCCAAGGCTGCGATTGCTTCTAAGGCTTCAGTTGTGAATGTCAAATCCACCTTTGAACAAATATGGATTTTTTTTTATCATTGATTGTCTTTTAAATTTTCGTTTCGTTTAGAGCCAACATGATTTTTCATTGTGAAATTGTCTCGGAAAACAAGAGATTTAGAACAATACAATGAGTGAAATTATCATATGGCATTTTTGAAAAAGGTCTCTTGAAATTGTGTTACCGCATAAAATGTCTTTATGAAATGAAATAATTAAATGCAACAATTGCATGCAAAATATTACATATGAATTTTTTTTGCTAAAGAAGCATGAAGTGAAGAAAACCTTGACGTACAGGTGCATCATGAGGTCAAAATGCATCGTATGAGATTCTCCCATGCAATTATAAGGCAAACATTTTCAATTGCCTGTAACTCATTAATTTTCAATTGTTCATCGAAATAAAGAAATCATGTCTAGTATTATTCATATAATTTTATTATCCAATAATGAGCAAATTCCATACAAGACAATCCTGATGCCAATGTCGAACCTGTCAATAGTTATATTGAAATTGACTAACCAAAAATTGACAAAAATCCTTATGGCATGTGGCTTTGGATAAATTATTTCAAATTTATGATTCATGACCATGCCACTTCTGGCAGTTTCTATTGCACTTCAAAATAATCTCCGAATCATCTGATCGATCGAAAAATCATGGAACCCGGAGAGTTGTGAAAAATCTTTTAGGAAATTAAGAGATGTTCAAGAAAACTCCAATTATTTAAGCATCGTTAAATCTGTTCAGAATGTTCCCAAAGTTTCTAGAATTTTCTAGGACCTTGTCGCAAGATGTTGCAGATATCATCAGTGTAGACCGTTATTGTGCATCAATAGGGAAAAAAAAAATTCAATCATAATTAGCGAAAATATGTAGGGGCTCAATGTATAAGGATGGTACATGACAAAGGTAAACTTGGTATTTTTGTCCTTGATTTTTTACATTTTTCTAGAATTTGACGTATCAATTGTAAACGCACACGCATACGGATTTAGCACACTCTCTTTTCACGAAAATTTCTTTCGGTATTGTTGTTTCATAATTCTAGCATTTAGTAAGTCCTCCAGAAATGTTCCGGTTGACTCTACAAATCGTTGTGAATCAGGAGGTAATCCCCAGCTACCAGAACATTTCAGTACCTCAACTCATCAACAATTCTTAATTCTTACCTTATCCATAGAAAACAGCATTTGATACTGAGGTACCATGGCATTACTCGGTTCCGTGAGAATCCTCACCAGCATATTCCTATCTAACGTATGAAAGGGCACCAAAATCGGAAACCTCCCTACAAACTCGGGTATCATTCCAAAGTCAATAAGATCCCTAGCCTCCACCTGTTTAAGTAACACATCTTTTTCCTTATTATCATCCTCAGTTGACGGAGACATGTTAGCTACATCTGCTAGCGTGGCAGCACGCCTCCCGGGGCTCTCCGATGCCGGAGCAGCTCCAAACCCAAGATACTTTTCATTCTTACGACGAGAGACAAGTCTGTCGAGTCCATTGTACGCTCCAGAAGCCACGAACAAAATATTTGTTGTATCAATCTGCAGAGTGTCACCACGTAATTTTCGCGAGCTGTTACGCTCTGGAACATTAACAATGGTTCCCTCCAGCATCTTAAGCATCCCCTGCTGCACCCCCTCACCCCCAACGTCCCTGAGCTGATGAATTCCAGGGACAGCACCAATTTTATCGACTTCGTCCAGAAAAACAATTCCCATTTGTGCCCTTTCCACTATGTAATTAGCATCTGTGAGGAGCTTGGCAATGACACTCTCAATGTCCTCACCAACATACCCAGCTTGTGTCAATGTCGTGCAGTCGCAAATGGCGAAGGGAACGTCCAGACATTGGGCAATGGTCTGGGCCAGAAGAGTTTTCCCAGATCCAGTTGGTCCAAGGAGTAAAATGTTACTCTTCTCGAGTTTTAGCTGGTGCTGCTTGCTGTCCAGGATGTCTGAACCTGGGATCGATGAACCACTGGGGGCCTTCACTTGGGGATCAACACTACTGGTGCCGTGCTGGAAACCAACCCCCAACGGATTGCCAATATTGGATACATTGAGTAAATCTGGGAAAATTTAAGAGAGTTAATAGAGGGTTTGGGCAAACGAGTTATGGTGCAAGGTGAAGAATAGTTCACAGTTGTTAAGGTCAGTTTAAGTTATTTACGCGGCTTGAGACCTCTGTGTGTGAATGGATGGTTGAGATCCTGCGGGCCTGCAGGACTGGCAGTGGCCTGAACTGAATTCTGCGGCGGAAGATTATTGTGGATACGTTTGTAGTGATTGTAAACCGCTACACTCAGAACTTTCTTGGCGTACTCCTGGCCTACTACATGCTTATTCAGGTATTCGTATATCTGTTGGAATGATAAATGAGATCAAATGATTATTTTTTATTTTTTATGGTGGAATCAGTACGAAAGTGAAGTGAAAAAAAAGAATAAGTCATGTAGGGATATTTTCATTGCGGATTGTTTTGTATAGCAAAATAAGAGTTAGAAGAGAAACACTAAAAAAACTAAATTTTCATTTCTAGACGTATCATCTTAAGTTGAGACTTGAATGTTTCAAGTTGAAACTTTTGAATGTGTCAAATTGAGATTACTGAAAGTCTTCAATTGAAACTTTTGGGATTCAACTTAAGGCATTTTTTGGATGTCTGTGCACATCGGGCTATCTCCTTCCAATTCCAAAATATCCAGCCAGATATATACGATTTTAGATCTGCATTATTGTCTTCCAATATAAAATCAGTCTTTGATGGATATTTTAAAATTTAATAGAAATAGTCGGATTTTCATGTGACCTCTTCGTAGTTTTCATTTTGCTCTCCTGAAAATATCTCAAGATAATTTTTATTATCTCTCTTGGATATCAGAAAAGGATTTCGAAATGAAAGTCACTTTGGTCACCTTATCTATTGTGAATATTATATATTCTTAATTATATCATTAATTCACCTTTTTGGGGGGTGGGGGTGGTTTCCTATAGAAGCCCTGTTTAGTGTCCTCTGTTCTCGTAGCTTCTTTGAGCGTCCGCTTCGAATCAATTTCTGATAACACCACAAAGAAGTGGTGGCATTTTTCACACTTGACGAATCTGGTTGAAGCTAAAATTTCATCAAATTATTTCCATCATTCATCATGTCAACATAATTAAGGCCCGGTTGCACCATCGCCTGTTAACTAAACCGCCAGATAACGGTCTGTTAGTCCATAAGGATCACACATGGATAAATTTATCCTGGGGTAAAAATAGCTAACAGGGCTCGGTGCAACCGGGCCCAAGATGATGAAATTTCTCCATAAATTATCTTGAACTGGATTACAAAGGGTATTTAATGCGGGGTAGCTTTCCTTCAAAAATTGAAATTCGATGATATTTCGAGTTATTCTTTGTCAATTTGTTATGCGGAATAATTTTTGAAAAATATTTGGGTTTTTTTTCTTCTAATCAAATTTCCCCTTCTCATTCGAGTTTACCAGCGATCGTAGAGGCCAATAAATCAACATCTCATCAATTCCATCGGCCAGGAAATTACTTAAAATTAAAAAATGATAGTTTACAAAATCAGAGGCTTTTCTCTCCTTCTTGATGTCTAAAAACCGGATTTTGCCAGAAATTCCCATGTTAGATTAAAATGAAAAACTGATGAACGGTGTTCATCAGCCATTAGAAATTACGACGAAAGAATTCAAGACATAAAAACCTCAAATCTGATTTTTTTCAAAACTTCCTTTCCATTTTTCGCAACTCGGCATAACACTCTCAATATTATATTCCTGCACTGAAATGATCATCGTTCAAACTAATTACTCAAGAAATAACATTCGGAAAAGATAAACAGTTATGCAATAGGATTTCGTAAACTATTCCTCCCTCGTCATATTTCGATACTCACACACGAATGTTTCAACATGCGTACAGGGATCACCACACTTCGGACACGTTAGGGTATTCTTCTTGCCACCCCCAGTGCCATTGCTACTTGCTGGGGCGCCTGTGGATGCGCCACCAACATCCTTAGTGGGTGGTGTGGGTTCACTTGGTACTTTTGAGAGAACGCTAGTGGTGGCCAATGACCTCGTTGCAACGACCCTCACGACTTTGTAGACTGAATAAAATCATTTTGACCCAAATTAAATGAAAATTCTACTGAATGAAATGATTAACTAAGAAAATAGTGATAATCTCCTCATATTTACAATAAAGAGAATGACGTGGATATTGAGATTAATCATTTTCTCGCAAATACTCACAATGATTCACAAAACTTTTCCCAAATTCGCAAATATCTCAAGATTAATTGTGGTTTACTCATTACTCTCGAAGATATTGATGACCCGAAGGTGTCAATTCCACGTGATTTTCACCAAAATAATTAATTAAAACTCACCATGATTAGTAGCATGGCTGGAAGACACCAGACGACTAGTGTTAGTAAGACAACAGCGTATACAGCTCATCCTGTTGAATGCTGCTCCTTGATAATTACAGCCAAATTAAAAAGTAATGCGTCAGTGTTGTGTCAGAAATCCTGGATGGAGTCCAAAAAAATTCTGAAAAAGCCAGAAACATTGAGAGGGAACTGAGCTAAAAAAGACCAGACTAACCTTACATACCCCACTAACCATTTGCTGATCATAAATGCACGAAATATTCAATAACACAGGTCGATTGGGACATTATTAAATCTCATCAAAGGGGGAGGGGGATAGCCTTCTACGTATAAACCACTTTTTCTCCCTCGTGTATAGTATTTGTTGTATATAAACAGTATTTAATTGGAACGCAGATGAAATATCGTCGAGTGACGTTGCAGAGTTGATACCAATTCTTCCTGACTAACGCGGCTGTTTCGTATTGCACTGGTTGAAGACAACTAACCTTACTCTTGACAATTAATTTATCAAGATCAAGAGTGGTTGTCCATGTAACATTTATTGTCCTCAAAATAACGTAATTCGTTATTGACACAATTGTAATGTTTTTTCACTTGAAAAAAAAAACAAAAAATTGTAGAATAAAAAATTACATGAATTTTGAATCTCACTGACGTTAATCCCTAATTAATTTATCTTGATATTTTGGTTTGAAAAATGAGGAGCCTATTGGATTGACGTTTGACGTATCAGTTATAGTAATTCGAGTCGTTAAAAAAACAATCACGAGTGATTAAAAATTTGAGATAATCAGTTTGTTCAATATTCAATATATTTCGGAGCGATTATTATTTATTTTGTATCAGAATAACTGGTTTCATGATAAATTACTCATTTATTAGACTGTAAGTCAATTATTTACCTTATAGATGAATAAACAAACACTAATAGTTAAGCTGAGTGAGTTGAGTGTATCTCACCTCTTTGTGAGATACCAAAGAGGATAGACCTGAGTAGAGGCCCGGATTGGGGGGTTTGACTAACTCCAAAATAGTTAGTTGGTACCCCACGGGAAAGGAGGCGTCCCGGTCGAATTGTCGGTAAATGTGAGTCGGGTGCGTGAGTAACTCGGCAGTAGCAGTCCCGCTACTCCCGCTGTGACAGGGACAGGTTCGAAGGGTGGCTTTTGTCCTCCTTGTACTCAATGTTTACTTTATGTTTTTCAGTTGATATATTCGCCGACTAATTAATATTAAGGGCTGAAACAAAGACTGTTCAATGGAGAATTAAATTCGCCATCCATCAACCCCCGTTTCATCCATTAATCTCTGCAATAAAAAAATTAATATTGCGACGAAAGTCACGGCGCTATAAGAAACCCAATGTTTTCTCGGCGCAGAGTGACTCTCCAATAATTCGCCCGCTAATTAGAAAATCGCCTCTCCCCTCCTAATTAACAATAAGGAATGAAACCAATGCTGTTCGATGGAGAATTAAATTCCCCATCCTTCAACGCCCGTTTTATTCCTTAATCTCTGTAATAAAAAAATAAAAACTGCGTCGGAAGTCGCGGTGCTATGAAAAACTCGATGGTTTCTCGGCGCAGTGACTCCCGACAACTCGCCCGCTAATTCAAAAATCGTCTCTCCCCTCCTAATTAACATTAAGGAATGAAACCAATGCTGTTCGATGGAGAATTAAATTCCCCATCCTTCAACCCCCGTTTCATTCCTTAATCTCTGTAATAAAAAAATAAAAACTGCGACGAAAGTCGCGGCGCTATGAAAAACCTAATGGCTTCTCGGTGCAGTGACTCCCGTCATTA